ACCAACATTCCGGATTCCGGATTAAAATTTCGGATTCCGAAAAAAAAGATAAGAATCCTAGAATTACAAAAACAAGTCCGAAATCCGAAAACTATTTCGGACTTTTGAGGAAAAAATTCATTCTTTTACTTAAATTTAACAAAAAAATAAACAAACATAATAATGTGAACTATATACGATATTAGTGCATAAAATTAGACATTGTTATTGAAAAATGGTGACATTAAACATGATTATTTTCTTTGAAAACCCTATTTGTAATGGTTAGATTACTTAATTTCCCTTCTTTTTATGCTGGATAGATATTAAATTTCATTAAATGTTGTTTTGTGCAAGTTGTTTTCAAATTTAGGCAAACTTTTTCACATGTTATTTTTTTAAATTACAATGAACAAAAAGATATTAACATGTATTTGGCGAAAGTCTTTAGAGTTTGGATCATATCTTCTACTCTAATAAATTAAGATTTTTTTTGCCACGTGTCGTGCTCTCATTCATTTTGTAGTTATTTTAAATTAAATTTTTTACACATGTTATTTTTTGGGTTTCTTTTATTTTATTAAATTCCACAATTATTTCATTTGTTTATTTATTTTTAAATAACTTGTTTCAATTTGAAAGATAAATAAGCACTTCAATTTCAATAACAAAATATTTTTCTTATTTTCCTCATAAATTCAAACTTGTTTAACCTTCATGTTTAACGTTTTATTTATTTATTTATTTATTTATTTTTAAATAATATCGTATAGTACACGGGTCTCACAACTAATGTGAAATAAAATACCAAAGAAAAAGATGACCATAATAAATAACAATGCATTTTTTTAGTAAATCTAATTTGGTCAAGCAAATTTGAAAATAATCAAATAATTTTGATTAGGAAAACTATAAAAAATAAATATGGTCAAATGGTTATATAATATCATCTTTCAAAAGTTGAATGATATATTGAATGAGAGTTGATACTTCCACTTGGTTTTTTTATTAATCCACTTGATAAAATTGTATTTTTACTTTTATACCCTTTGGAAACCATAGTCATCAAAACCTTGATTTCATCCCTTATTTAGATTTAGATTTTGTGTATGTTTTATTTTTCTATTTTTTTACACCTTTAATTTGAAAACTTGTGTCTTTCGATTTTGGTTTTACTTTTATTTTTTGTTCCACTTTTAACTTTAATTTTATTTATATATTATTAAAATGAAGTATATATTAATAACAAAATAACTAAATTATTGGAACAAAAAATAAATAAAACATTATAGAAATATGATACCAACACCATACGAATATAATATTCTTGGAATCGGTTAAATATCTTCGTTTGATTTATTAAGTGTCATATCATACAATATCATACACTAGTAAAAAAAAATTATTGGTGGTGTAATCTAAGCTGATATCACGATCACAAAGTAAATAACGGCCACAGACCATAAATTGAAATAATAGTTCTTACAATGTAATAGTGACGGTAATAAAGCACTCATGGTACTCACGTAAGATGTTGTTCAACATAATATTCAAACAAATGCATATCACAAAATGTTAAAACTAATGTATCATGAAATATTTAATCAATTCAAATATTTAATCTGAATTGGGTGAATATTTCTTTATCGTCACTATTACATCCTAAGAACTGCTACTTCAAAATGCGGTTCATGACCGTTATTTTTCTTTGTGACCGAGATACCAACTTAGATTACATCATTAACAAAAAAATTAATTTTTTTTATCAGTATATGGTATGAATTTTATTAAATCAAACGAAAGGTGTGGGTATCATATTTGTATGATTTTTTATTTAATTTTTGTTCCAAAATTTAATTATTTATTGTTATTTCTATATACTTTATTTTAATAATATATAAATAAAATCAAAATTAAAGTAAAACAAAAAAAATGTAAAACCAATAAAGGGAAACCAAAATCAAGGATATGGGTTTTCAAATTAGAGGTGTAAAAAAAGGAGATGAAATCTAAATAAGGGATGAAATCAATTTAAGGGATCAAAATCAAGGTTTTTATGATCGTGTTTCTAAAGGGCAAAATAGGAAAATACAATATTATTAAGTGGATAGATGAAAAGACCAAGTGTAAATATCATCTTCCTTTATTGAATTTGGTCGGACCTTCAAATAGGGCTACGACTGTTGTTACACTTACATATCAGAATTGTTGACTTTGAGTTTTTAGTTGATAGAAAATAGGGTAAGTTGCCTTCTTTAAGTTTGAAATTCTTTCAACAGAATTGATTATTAAGAAAATGAATTTTTGGGTTGTGAAGAAAGATTTAATATGACCCTAAAATGCCTCATAGTTCGCATAGAAAAGTAAGGGCTGGATTAAGCGCATAGGCACGCATCCCAAGATCAGTCTTAAAGTTATGAACCCACCAGATTGTTGACTAATTCATAGACATTGGTCAAACTTATTGACGTGTTGGTGTTGCGGCAATTCTACAACTTCGGGCTTTGGTATTGTTGTGAATCTGTATCGGTTGATAAACTCCCTAAGGCCGGAGAGAGTGGTGTTTGGCATGTCACACTGCCATATTAGCTTTTTGACAGCCACCTCACCGCCACGTTGTTTTTGCCACACATCATAAATGGCATGCCACTTTGAAAGGATGGTTCAAGATTGATTTTTCTAAAAAAAGAAACAACCTTTAACCCTCTATCTCTCTCCTCTGTGTCATTAGCATTCAAATGCCCTTCAACAACCAAGACAACCAAGACTTTGGCATGGCACCATAAGGGTGTGGTGTGTGCCGAAATTGCCGAACACATGCCGAGTAAAAAAATGTCAAACCAGTCCCTCTGTTTTTAATAATTGAATGTTTTTATTATATCACATGTTAAGTTACCTTATGTTATTTCAATAGAATTTATAAATGATAATTTTATATTAAGTAGAGGAAAAGGTATTCCTATAGGCGGTGTTTGTTTATTTGAAAAAACCATTTCTAAGCATTTATGTCCACGGACGGGAAAACATCTATGTATTTGCGTTGTGCGTTATCGTAGACTGTTTGTTTTTTAGAAGACTGCAAACGTCAAAATGTCTGCATGTCCTCTTCTCCGAAGAGACATGGACCAAAGTCTACCGTCTACGGACAAAAAAACATTTCTTACATACATCTTCTAAACTATATATATATATATATATATATATATATATATATATATGATATAGATCCGGTAAGAAATTTTTTTTTGGTAGGAAGGTAAGAAGTTTTTTTCTATATATTTTTTTGACGAACAAACAAAATGAATCACTAGATGATTCATTTGTAAGATGATTCACAAGAAAAAATTCCCAAAAAAACATCTTTATGATTCATTTTTAAGTAAATTAAGAAAAAATTCACTTTTATGACAATTTTAGTGAATAACAACAAAATCATTGTATAAATGAATCATCGAGATGTTTTTTTGAGAATTTTTTCTTGTGAATCATCTTACAAATGAATCATCTAATGATTCATTTTGTTTGTTCGCGAAAAAAATATGTAGAAAAAAAACTTCTTACCTTCCTACCAAAAATTTCCTTCTTATTTAATCTTGACTATATATATATATATATATATATATATATATATATATATATATATATATATATATATATTTCACAAACACATATATACACGCCTACACCCTCAGTTGCATATAACAAATGTGTGTTCGGTATGAAACTTTTAGTTTTTAACCTTTAAAAAAAACTGAAGAAAAAAAAACTTTGCAGTAAGATGTTTTAAATTTTATTATAAATAAAAAACTTTGAATACAAAAATCTATTTCAAGTGACTTTTAAAAGTTTTTAGCTTTTGGTTTTTATCTAATTTTTACATCTTAAAAAACTAAGCTAACAACTAATTTTATCGAATACTTCTATAGAAATAAAAGCTATAACTATTGATTACTAGCTATTTTAAAGAGTTTTAGTGGTTTAGCCTATTCGAATATATGCAAATTTTATAAGTTTAAGTGTAACACGCTTAGAAAACATACAACACAAAAAAACTCATTTTAAAAGAAATTGGTAGAGATTGTTGACTTGTTGTATCTATTAAGAATAGAGAATAAACATATAACATATATTAATACGTTGAACATAAATTCTCGAATATTTCTAAAAAGATAAAATAAACATTCTCATCAAAGACAAATTCGAACCTAAGTTTTGGATTTTGTGTAGACTTAGCAGTCAAGTAGTTTTTGGATTGTGCCATTGTGGGTAGACTTGAAGTCAACTATTGCAACTTGTTAATACTAGAATTTAAGGAATTTGAAAATTTTCAATTATATCGACTTAACGCAATTTTTATTCAAAATCTTTCAAACTACGTTGAAATTAGTAAACCGAATTACCTAACACATCCTAATTCTCAACCAAAAAGACCATTTCACAAATGGCTTGAGTAGTTATTTTCGCTTTTTATTGAAAAGTGTTAAATGCAATTAAAAAAATATGATAATTTCCGTAATTGTTTTTATTAAATATATATTAAAAATATAATTGCTAATCGCACTGTAATATACTCCCTCTGTCCCAAAATTATTGTCCACAGACAAAAAACACATAGATTAAGAAAAGCAATCATTAGTTTTGTCTTTTTGAGTAAAATGACTCTCTTGTCCTTTTCTAAAACCAATGAGAAATGTGCGTTTATAATTATTTAAGTTTATTTTATTAAATGTTAGGGATAATATGGTAAAAGTGTATATCTACTTTTGGTAGTGGACAATAATTTTGGAACAAACTAAAATAGTAAGGTGGACAATAATTTTGGGACGGAGGGAGTAGTATTATTAACATTAGCATCTCATAACGAGTTAAAAATGAATGGTTTAACACCAGAATCTTGTGTAAGATGTATTATCCCAATAATAATATAATATTTGTTCAATATAATATGTTATATGCTTTGGTTTGTGATCATTTGAGTCTCAGCCTCATCTTTTCCCACTTATATATACAAATAAAGGGAAGTAGGAGCCCAAACCACAGTTTCATAAAATGAAGTTCAATGGTCTTACTTTCTTCTTGGTTGTACTCTGTGCATTTATTCTCTTTTCTGCTGCTGGAAGAACCCATCCCGCCACCCTTCAACCCCAAAATAATAAACAAAAAGGTATGATAAATCACATGCATATAATATAGATGTAGATATATGTGTATACATGTATAAACACATACATACACACAAATATTATGTATTTACTATCATGAGACATGCTTACATATGAGCTTGTATGCAACTATTTGTATATTAATTAGTTTGTGTGTGCTTATCTGTTGCATATGCAGTTATTGAATCAGAAAAAGTAGCTCATACAAATAGCGGACCAAGCACGTGGGGCGGGTGTTGGAGTTGCTGGAAAAACCATGACCGTCGTCTTCTCCGCTAGGAATAGCTAATGATGATGGCAATATGCATCTTTTGTTGATCCGTGTATGAATAACCAATGGGGTGATTGGTCTGATTTTCTGCTTTATGTAAACAACCAGCTTATTAGACACTGGTTTTGTTTTTAATAATGTCGATCTCTTTTATATATTTGGTCCGACCTGACATTAAATTCTGTGTAAAAATCAAATTAAGGCTCATAAAAATACGTAAAATATTATTAAGTAGATTCCTTACGGCTAAATTAAAAACTTAAAGTTGATAACAAACGTCTCATAACCTCTTTTTAAAATTCTTGCAAGTTATCTTTAGTTCATCAGTATTCAGTGACTTCAACTTTTCTACCGTGAATAAGAAACCAAACATGTTTTCATACTGCTTGTATTGCTCAAACCTTCCCGCAATGAACCACTAGCTTGATTTATATACACAAAATAATGAACCATGAATGATTCTTGAGGTGAATGTATTAGTTTCGATGACTCAACGTTACTTTTATCAAAAAGTTTTTTTAGTTATTCTTTTATTATTTTTTCAACAAACACCAGATCAATTCCTAAATTAGAAGCTATAGCTCCAAAACATTTCAAAGTCTTTTTAAACCCATGCTCTTCATAGTCTTTAAAAAACTCAATAAGTGCTCACACACAGCTCATTACCTCATCAATATGCATGGTTTCATATTGTAGTTATCCATTCTATATGTTCATCATTGGATTATGGTTACAACTTCATCAACTCCGTTCACATTCAAAGTTACACCTTCTCTATGGTCCTTTCAATAATATCAAATTTTATAGTATTATTATAGAATATATTTTGCTCCACTTGAATAGATTCTTCGTTATGATGACATTTTGACACTTTTTTTTAATAATATAACTTCTTGAGATGTGTAACGTTTTTGTTTTATTATTTATAAAAGGTTTTAGCAAATAAAAATGATGATTATACAATTAGAAATATAAGTGAAATATATAAATAAATAAATGTTCAAATATTAGTTTATATGAATTAACAATTTTAAAAAGGGGTAATATAAAAAAGTAAATGAATAAAAAGAAGGTATTTAATAGATTTTGATATTTATTAAAAAAGATAATAATAATAATAATAATAATAATAATAATAATAACTAGAAAGAGGGTCCACGCTATGCACGGGTTAAGAGTTTTGTTTTGTTTTTTTTTTGTTACTATTTGCAACCTTGTAATTAACTTGTTATTACATATTACATCCCCCATTAGCTACTCCAACTATCAGGTTTCACAATTTATGTCAACTGTTATGAATGCCATAATAAGAATGTCAATTCTAATATGCCTGAACAGATAGATTCCTTATCACATTCATACAATATGTTATAACTTATAAGTGTGATTGTCTATATGAAAATGAACTCTTTCCTACATTCTTCTTAAGGTTTTTCATGTAGAAGTCAAGTTCTTTTCGCTGGGTATGTACCTAACACATCACAAAACCACATTGCAATCAATTTGTGTATTTATGTTTAAGTTAATGCAAAAAGAATGAACTAGTTGAGAAAATTGGAGAAAGCAATTGTTTTCCTTATTAAGTTAATGATCATGTCATCTTTTTAACAAACAATTTTACCTTTTAGCAATGTATTTACAAAGTATATTGCTATAACAAATCAAATTTTATTTCTTTTGTAACATTTTTCAGGTCGTCTTTTAACAAACCATTTTGCTTTTTAGCAAAGTGTTTACAAATTACATTTCTATAAATCAACTTTTTTTCCCTTATTTTTGCAACTAATCAGATCATATTTTTTAACCAACAATTTTAACATTTTTTAACAATGCGCTTACAAAGTATATTGCTATAAATCAACATTTTTTTTCTTATTTTTGCAACGGACCAAATCATCTTTTTTATCCAACAACAAAAAACATTTTTTAGCAATGTACTTGCAAAGTACATTGCTAGAAATCAATTTTTATTTTTATTTTTGCAACTGATCAGATCATCTCTTTTAACCAACAATATTTGCATTTTTTCATCAATGTACTTACAAAGTACATTGCTAGAAATCAACTTTTTTTCCTTATTTTTGCAACTGATCAAATCATCAAAAAAGCATTAAAGTTTGGGACGATACGCATAAATAGAAACAAACTTTCATCTTTGAACCAATAACATCAGTTCACAAAGAATGTTCAATTCACAAAGAATTCGTATTTGCACATTTGTGACATCTCAAAAATCAGGGTAAATTTAAATTTTCCAAAAACAACCCAAAACCATAATTGTTTACAAAACCATTGTTTCAAAAGTGTATTTTAGTAATCAGAGTATCCCCAAAATCCAAATAACATAAATCCGAAGGATGTGCACGATCATGCCTTCGCCTTACCACGGTCATTTGAAGTACCTGAAACAATAAACTGAAACTGTAAGCCAAAACTTAGTGAGTTCTCCCAAAGTACCACCACATAAACATATAACCAAACAAATATCGGATCCACAACCTCCTGGTTGGATTACCCATGGCTCACAACCTTACGGTTGGAATGCCCCGACCCATAAAATTCTGGTTGGCTTGCCCAATCCATAACGGGTCCACAACCTCCTAGTTGGATTACCCACGACCCACAACCTTACAGTTGGAATGCCCCGGTCTGTTGACTGACAACACTGAGAAGTACAGTCTCAACCCTACATACTATGTCGACATATATGTAACAAATAACATATATCCAGCAACATATAATCATATAACCAGTCAATAGACTAAAAGACATATCTACATATCACTACTGCATAGCAACATCCTATATACCCAGATACATAAACTAATGGGACGACATTGGTTCCTTCAACCCACAAGAATAGTGAGGAAAGTCAACTCTCAGTCTGAAATGATCGTTGAACCGGACACGGCTCTGAATATCAGCTCTACTGGTCACCTATCCATCAAATAGTGACAAATTCTCAAATACAACTCAAAATATGCAAAATAACCCTATGTCAAACTTGGTCAAAGTCAAAGTCAACTATAGCAGGTCGCCACGCCGTGGCCATCCTTGGCCACACCGTGGCCACTAAATAACAAAACAGTTGATTCTCAGCCTATACTCCACGCCGTGGAGACCTTGGCCACGCCGTGGGCACTGGGCTCCCAACATCTTAATGGATTAAGTCAATTTCCTTGATCCTAAAGGCTCCAAAGCCCAAATCTGGTCCATTCTATGGTCCAAGTGGATAAAGTTTCCAACTTTATCCTTGTTAATGAACGTTTGATTTTTAATTCTTGTTAGTCTGATCACCTAGCTAGGGTTTTATCAATCCAGTTAATTAGTTAATAGAATCCGTAATTGTTCTTGTCAACTGGTAATAAGTAACAATGATGAGGTGGCTATGGTACAGCTGGTCCGTAACAACAAAGAGAAAGCGTAGAGCCCAAGTAATTGGTTAATAAGTTTCCTTAATGTTGAGTCTTTTTTTTATTTTCTTTCCTTATTTATTTGTTTTGTTTCCTTGTGTCAAAAGTCTTAGAGTTCTAGTAGGTTTACGTTTAAGAGTCTTTAAATACCTGCACCTTTATTTGTAATGTGGATGTTCTGTTTTGATTAATAAAAAGAGTCTGAAGACTGTCATCTTCAAATCCGAGCATCTCACGTTCGATACACGTAAAGTATCACGAGTTTACAAAGTGTTTGACAATACACTTCACAAATTGTCTATTTCTGTAGTTCAATCTACATCAGGTGGTATCAGAGCCCAGCGAATCCATGGCACCAGGTGACGGACAACATGACCCTGAACGGATCGATCATGTGGAGCAAACCCTCCGAGAGGTCCGGTTAACACTTCAACAAATTACTGCCACACTTACGACCCTTACGACTCGAATTCCTGCTCCCCAGGAACAACCAGCAGCACAGGTCAATAATCAACCTCCTAATCGCAACATCCCACCCGTGCAACAACTCAATCGCATCGCATTCCAACCCAGAAATCGTGCAGCCGATCGACTCCATCAACAGGAACAGGGACGGAACGGGGAAGACTCCGACCTCGAGGAGGATACAGGTGATGAGGAAGTTGGAGGCGGCAGACATGGTCGGCGACGTGATAACCATAATTTTGATTATCGACAACGAGCCAAGGACGTTCCATCCTTCAATGGCTCAATGGACATCAAGACATTCCTCGATTGGATGTCTGAATTAGAAAACTTTTTCTCGTTCTATGAAATCCCCAACGACAAACGAGTTACTCTTGTGGCGTATAAGTTAAAGGGGGGAGCACAAGCATGGTGGAAACACTTACAGTCGAATCGTGAGAGGCAAGGGAAACTTCCAATCTCAACTTGGGAGCGCATGGAAAGAGAATTGAGGAAAATATACTTACCCCCGAATCACGACCAGGTCCTTTTTAACCTTCTTCAAAATTGTGTACAGGGAGATCGAACTGTGGAGGCTTACACGGCGGAATTCCGCCGCCTTTCTTCTCGGAATGATCTAGCGTAGACGGAGTCCCAAACAGGTATTGAGGTATACGAATGGATTGAGATCCAATATCATGGATCGTATCTCACTTGTGCCAGTATACACCCTAGACGAAGCCTACAATTTAGCCACAAGAGCTGAAGCCCAAATCAGTAAAAACTCTCGTTCTTGGGCTAATAATCGAACCAGAGCACTCACCAACACCATCCCAACACTTCAAGCCTCCCAGTCCACCGAAAACAGTCTAGCCCATGTCAAAGAGCCCGCCCCAGACAAAGGGAAGACCGTCACATCCTCTTCTACTGTAAAACCATCCAACCCTTACGCACGACCCTTAGCTGGTAAGTGTTTCAAATGTGGGATCACAGGCCATCGTTCCAGTGATTGCAGGGCATCCACAACTAAAGTCAATCTCGCAACTAAGGAAGTGGACGAAATCAACGACTCCATTGGTAGTGACAATGAGGAGACGGTGGCAGAATTGTGTTATGCCGAAGAAGAAACATCATGGGGCGAGCATACCTCCAAGACATGCATTGTACGCCGCATACTATTAGCTCCTAAACTCCCCGAGACACCTACACAACGCCACAACCTGTTTCGTACTCGATGTTTAGTTCATCAAAA